CATTGTTCAGGGGGGGGGGATTATATTAAAGCAGGTCCAACATTATGTGAGCATTTCGGTGAGGATTCCATTGAAATTTTGCAAGCCTGGAGTCTTCGGCAGTCCAATCCTCGAGTCATCGACAGCCTGGAGTTGCTGAATTTGGTTAGTCAGGAGCCCAGCGCTCGCTCCGCGCGGGATAGCCCAAGTTCCCACGATGTGGGCTCTGTGTGCCGTTTCAATTGTACCACTTTTCAGGTTTGCGTAGCGGGCATAGGGTTCACCCTAGGTCTGACACATACCCATGTGGGTTTTGTCTCAAACTAACTAGGGGACGGCAAGAAAGGATTGGTTTCCCTTTGGTTTCCTTTCAAACCAACCCCAAGGGGGTGGCCTCAAGAAAGGAAAGCCATGCATCCAGATTTTTTCGCGCCGAGCTCGCGGACGTCCCCGGGTTTTTCCCTTGATCAACGCGGCCGTGGAGGAGAGCCGCAATCTCAGGATACGCTTCGCTGTCTGTTTGCGTCGATGGTTTAAAAGGAAAACAACACGGAAACACCATTTTGTTTTGGGTCCCCCTATTTGGACACATACCCACTGGACTCGTCGCCTCGATTCCTTCCAAGGCAAAAGTCCAGCTGAACAGGTGGAAGAGCGCACCGACGAGCTGTGCGCCTCGCGCATTGTGATGAGCGTTGCAGCCTCGTCCCAGAGGACAAAGTGAAGCCCGTGTCTCGGATTTCCCGAGGTGAGCCAAGCCTTGTTGGCCAAGGAGGTGGAGGAAAGGCTGAGGAAGACACTTGGATTTGGATGAACCAACACTAGAACGGTCTTCCAAATTGTGGCGACTGTGTGTGTGTGTGTGCGGGGTCAGGGTCCAAAACAGAGCATTCACTTCATTCGAATCGCGATTCAAGTTGCCAGTTCGGATTTGCACTCAGGATGCAAGGGGCCTCCGTGCATGGCGAGGAGTCAGGCTTTGGCCTCTGTGTTGGCCATTGCTTGTCAACCACATGGGTATGTGTCATGATATGGGGGCTCCCAAAATGGGTGGTTTTACTGTAAATTAAGCTGAGCCGGCTAGCCTCGAAAACCCACACACTTTTCAGATACTTTTTTGTTGCAGGCCACATCTCTCTACGGAGCTTCCTGTGCCTCCTATGGCCGAAAGCCCGAAGCTCAGGGAGTCAATGCGAGTGCCATTCCTCAGTTAGGGACTGACATTAACCCTTTCATTGGGATCAACTAGTTGTGGAAGTAAACCCTCGTCAGGGAATGATAGCAGTCCCCCCTTGACAAGAAGACATTGTTCGGCCGTGACTTGGCTGCAAGCTTTTGAGCGAGGTTGGAGATGCCTCCATTGAGTGCTGCGTGCGCTGGTGCCAGTCCTTTCACGCGCACCAGGCCTATGGGATCAGATTGATGGCAAGCTGCAAGCTGCAAGCGCAAGCTGCAAGCAAGCTGCAAGCTGGGAAGGTTTGCCTGGCCCTCCTCCGGCAAAAGAGGGCATCCATGTGCCAGACCAGGCACGCGCATATCAAACCGGTTGCTGTTTGCGCCCGGTCGGCACATGTCAGGCAGTCTAGGGGCAGCATCGGCATGGAGCCAGCAAGTGGCCGGCGGCCAGTTGCATTGCTGGACCGCTTGGATCGCGATGACTTGAAGGCGTGAGTGACGGTTGGTCAAGCCAAGGGAGCTTTCGGGGACTTGCGCACGCTTCTGGACCGAAAAACACGCCAGAGCGAAAATGAGCCCGTCTTGTTTTTGGAGTTGTCGGGGGGTTCCTCTTGTGCAGAACCTGGGCGATATTAGATCGTACCTGGGGGTGGCTTCTTAGGTTAGATTCGGCTGGTTTTTTTTCGCATAGGCCCTCTTCGAGACACTGGACATAGATGGGAACCTCAAGCTGTCAGCGCGGGAGCTATGCACCCAAGGCTGGGGTTAAGCGCGCTCTCAGAGCTTCGCATGCGCTTGGCTGGGGAAGTCTGCGCGAAAGTCACGGGTCCATTCGGTCGGGTGTTCCACTCCTGCTCGGGACACAGAAGCCGCTTTGAACCTGAGTCAGTTGTTGTGCCGCTGCTCAAGAAGCGGAATCAGCACTGAGTCTGTGGTCCAGGAAAAATAAGTATATATATATATATATTTGTACATTTATGTTTGTCAGCGCTTCTTCTGCCCAGGCAATCGAAAGAATTGGGGCCTTTTGCTCAGGTGGCATTAGTGCAAAGGAGGCCCAGAGGCTGCTGCGCATTTGGGACCAGGCCGGGGGACAAATGCACGTGACCTTCAAAAGGGGGGGTTCTCAGATTGCTGGACTCATTTTTCTTGATTGTTTCAAGGAAAACGCCTCTTTTCCACCAAACCGATTATTTGTTCAAGCGCACTCTTGTAGGGAGTTGAGCTTGCAATGTTAACACATTTAGCACCTTGTGGACTTGCACCTTGCTTGCCTGAAGCAACAAACAAGCTGTGGCAAGCTGATGCGGGTGTTGTTTTTTGGAATTGGTTAGCCTTTGGCCATCACTTCGGGAATTGCCCATCCAACTGATCGTCCAACATGGCGTTGGATGGAAGATCAACTTCCAGGGACCCTTTGTGCCATGGCTACGAGCCATTGGCAAGGTCCTTGTGAGAGACTGGAGATCGATTGATAGCTTGGGGACAAGAAGGGCCCCAACTTTCCCGTCAACCAGTGGCCCACCCCCGGGGCGCACCCAAAGCTACTCTTCAAAATTTGTGGTTCATTGCACAGAATTTAAGCCCACCGCCAAGCACACAAGTTGTGCGTGTCAAGATCGGGAACCCCCAAATAGGATCTTGGTTTAGAACAGGTACCCTAAAAAAACAGCCCCACACCCACCTGGAGCCATGAGCGTCTGTCAGTCTTCTTGGCCACATCTCAAACAGGATAACGACGGCGAGCTCTCACAGGCGGAGCTGTCCAGCATCGTGCCGCTTTGATGGATTCAGAAAACCTTGCCGTTTCGCGAGTTGACATTTTTCACGGTGTCCAGAAGGCTCGCACAGAACACCGACGGGGTGAGTTGGATGGGCTGAGGTGAGGTAGATGGGTGGATGGTCCCTTAACGCCTTGGGAGTCTCCGATGGAGTCATCCATAGCAGACTTTATTGAAAACCATTTTCGACACAGTGGAAAGTCAACACCAGCACAGTTTGCTTGGCTTCCCTGACAATGCTTGTCTTTCACCCAGGCGACTCGGACAGAGCTCTCCTGCGTCGTTTCTGTCGTTGTTTCACTTTGACATACCAACTGACCTTGAATACACAGAAGCCTCAGTGCTTTAAAGATAATCCCTTGCGTATATTGGGAGAAGCACGAATTCAATAGCGTTCTTGCTTCTGCCGGGCTGACCCAACCTGGCAAACTGGAAGTGTTCATGCAGCTTCCAAACAAATCTCGGCCTTGGACAGGAATTGAAGTTTGTACAAGTTTGACCAATGCGACTGAGCTGCTGCATTGCCAAAGTGCTGGGGAGCTGTACGCATTTTTGCCTATGCTGACGCCTATCCAGAAGCGGGCAAACCTCCCTAGACCCGCTTGCAACACTTCTGTCGTTCATGCCAAGCTTTGGAAGAAAGTGCACATCCGTATCTTTGCGAGGAACCAGTGCGAAAGTCAGCAGTGGACTTTTGTGTTCATGTGCCTTTCTCTCTTTTGAATCGTGTTTGGGCTTCATCCAGCATGCTCTGAGGCATGCATTGGACTCAGCCTTGAAGCAGCAGGTCAAGGCCGCTATGAGTTTAGTCGAAAGTGCTGGTTGCCCGCCAGACAGCCGTTTGCTGTGAGTGAAGCATGTTTTGCCTTGCAGGGATTGTTCGCCGCAGCGCGGGAGCCGGCGGATACCTCGACACAGAAAGAGGCGCGCTCTGGAGACAACTAGGTATGTGTAAATATAGTGGGACCCCCGAAATGGCGGGATTCTTTTTTTTTTTTTTTGGTAAAACCATCCAAACCTCAAAAAGGACATCAAGCTGAGTCAAGCTGCACGGTTTACGCTGACTCTCAGGAGGCGACTGCACCTGCAGAGCCTGTTGGCATGTCTCCGCAGCCGGCGAGCGCCCGAGCTCGGCCGCCTCCCAGAAGGCGGCGCAGCAACTCATTGCCGCCACTCAGACGAGGCGAAGCGTCGGCTCGGGTTTCGGCTTGAAATGAAGAAATTGCAACGGGGAACCTCCAGATATTCGTGATTCGCTTGCGAGACCTTCCATTGGTGTCACTGAGTCAGTTCCCACCAGTCTTTGATTGACTCGGCAAGCCTTGGGTCCGTTTGAGCCTAGCGAAGGCGCGCCCCCAGCGCTCCTCTCACGGACGCGGGTGCGGGGGAAGTGGTAAGTGACGAGTGCGGATGCGGATGCTTGAGCTTCCAATGCCATTCCCTGTGGAGAGTCCAAAGGACAGCATGCATAATTCGAAGATCCGTAGGAGAGTCCGAAGGACAGCATGCAGAATTCAAAGACGCACATGATGCTTGATCGTTCATAAGAAGGTCAGGCACCATGGATTTGCAGGCAGCTCAGAAGTTTTGATATGTCAAAGTCTGATTTATGCTAGTTGTTCTGATTGGAGATGCCCTGAACTGATTGCTGCCTAGTAATTCAGCAGCGGCAAAGCGTTGCCGGCTGCACGGATAAGAGTCCCTGGGCGCCCGTGCGGCAGCTTCGCCTGTGCAGTGCGGCGGTGCGGCCCTGCGGAGCCCCACTTGAGTTTGGTGTCGCGGCCGGCCCTCTGCTTCCCGAGGGAAGCACCCCGCTCTTTTCGTCTTGTTCGGCATGCTAAAAGCATTCGCCGAGTTTATTCGGGGCTTCCGGCGAGGATCTGGTCGTCAGGTGCCATCCAGAGAAAACAGCAACCGGAGACATAACCCAGCCAGAGCCACAATCAATACCCTGATAGGAGAAGTCTACTAGGGGAGAGTCCCTATCATAAAGCGGTGCGGCTGCCGTGTACATTTTGACATGTTTTCTTGGCAGACTGCTTTGATATATGACTCAGCTGAGAGGTACTGAATCATCTCCAGATGCTGACAAAGTCTGAAGCGTTCATGTCAGCGGGCGTCGACTACATGGACGGCCATGCAACAGCAAATGAATGCCTTTTTTGCAAGCATGATTCTTGTATTAATTTACTATGGGGTCCATGGTGAGGACATGAAAGATCGAATTCGCCAGAACACCAAGGATCAGGTTGGGGCCTCAATTGGCTATTTTCAGAGAATGCCATTCCTTTGCTGACATATTCGCTCAGGCGATCATGCTCGGGCCTTTTGATGCATGCTCCTTGGCCACTTTTGGATCTTTACCCTCAATCCTCGGTTCTGGCCTTGAAGGCATGCGGCTATGAATTCTCAGGGGAACACCTTCCTGAACGGTTGGAGGACCTAAACCCCCTGAATGATGTCCACCAAAACGTCCCTATTCAAAATTCATGCCCAATTAAGCAATTCATGACCATTTGGGGTCCCGCGGGTGAATTTTAAACCACACCCATTGCAGGCAAGAAGCTCCTGAACGCTTCGGAGGGCGCCAGACTCTCCTTCCGCGATCGCCTGGATCTCGTGGTTCCTGGCACGTTTCGACGCAAAGGCTTCTTTGTGCATGCATGCTTTTGCGCCGGGCGTGTCATTTTTGAGGGTCCCTCAGTTCCATCCGCATCTTGCCAGTTCTTCGTGGATCACTCCCTCATGGGACTCCTGGTCCATGAAAACTTCCTGAACTCCGTTGCGAAGAAGTGGTCTGACTCAGTGGCCGGATTCACCAACTGATGGATCTTTTTCAGAACCCCGGATTAAGCCAGGATGGGGGTGTCAGCCACAAAAGCGATCCGGATTGCCACGTTTAGTGGGAAGGCTTCTGCTTCATCCTGGGTTCCGTGACATTTGCTTTCTTCAGGCCGGTGACTGGGGATCTGGTGCAAAGGCCGGCAGTGGCCTTGGCGAGAGTCACCTTGAGCACGAAGTCCAGCGGACTAAAATCACAAAGTTTAAGTCAAGTCACTATTGCTGGGCAGTTGCCCGGTGGATGCATTGGTCTGGTACAGAATGCCAAAGGGAATGTTGGTGTCTTGGTGCACACTCTGACATGCTGGTCGAGCTAACAAGGACTGTACTCATGTCTTCCAGTGTATTGGAATGAGCGCAGAGGTGCGCACTGTTCCAGGTGCGCCATATCTGCTGACCTCATGGCGATGGGGGATGTGGTCGGCGCAAGGATTCGGGAGCATCAGGACCGCTGGACAGCTCAGTTCCCCTGCTTCCTCCAAGTTACATGCATTATGCCGATCAGCTACAGAATTTAGGCGTGAGGCGATTTTGGAAGTCGCACTCTGAATCGCTGGTAACAAGGCGCGCAGGTTTTGGGGGGGAACTGAAAGATATAGATAAGACGGTTTCACAGGGAGTATTGACATGAGCTGAGCGACTGACAACTTTACATTGCTGTATGGTGTATTTAGCACGCAAGCAAGCAACCGACAAAGTCTGGGGACAATGCGCCTTGAGCAAACCAGGGAAGCCTGACTGCAGGAGGCCGACGAGATGTGACACAAGCTAGGCAGAAAACTTTGTGTTGCGGTAGATATTGAGGGCTGGTTTCAAGGACAGACAGCAAGATAAGGTGCGAACACCTGGATTTGAATGAGACAAACAAGTCAAAGTTTAGCTGTAGGGAACCTCTCCGGAATCTGCCGAGGGCCACCCAGTTTCTTGGTTACGATTCCAGTTGCCGCTACGGCAAACTGGGAAGGTGAAAGGTTTGGTTCCTGGTTGGCACCTCTGCAACGAGTCAGCTGGTGCGAGGCCTCTCTCCTAAGTTGGGCTTTCGTGAGCAAAAGGAAGGGAAGCAAAGCGTTACCGCCCTGAAGCTCAGGCGGTAAGGACAATCCACTCTTTGCGTCAGACACTCTATGCATGGTTATGTGTCAAAATCGGGAACAGCGACCCCCAAAACTGGTGGGTGTTCTTTTGGTTTCCTTTTGAAAGCAACCCCAGGAAGGTAGCACACACCCGCGCATGAACGTTATCGTCACGGAAGTCAACCCAGTGTCACCAAGACCGTCAAATTGGCGACACAATTGTGCAGGAATGGAGCCTGCTTCCTGACTTGGGCATCCTCTCCGCAGTGTACCCGGCGTTCTTGACGCACGGGTTCCTTGGCCGCGGTGCTTGCCAGGCGTGCATATTTGTAACATTTGTATGTATGTGGGAACATGTACTTTTATCTGCGTTTGCGCTCCATACACGTAATGTAACGTGGTGTAACGTATTGTCATGTAATGCAACGTAGCACAATGTAATGCAATGCAAAGTCATTGCAACGTAATGAAGAAATATAATGTAGGGGACTGAAATGTAATGAAATGTAATACAAAGCAAATGTAGCGTAGTGTGGCGTAATGCACATATTTGAGTGCAATGCATATTGTATTGTAGTACAATGTAATGTAATGTACATATTTTAAGTGTCTTGGAATGCGATGTACTGTAATGTAATGCAATGTAATGCAATGTAATGCAATATAATACAATGTAATGCAATGTAATGCAATGTAATGCAATCATTGACACGTAACTTGCGTTGATTTTTTAGCCCTGACATGCATTGTGTGGGCTGCACACGCCGAGGTTCGTGGGTTTCCCAAGCTTCCCTGCCTTTCTGGGCAAGTACTCCAGCCAAAGCAGGACTCATCCTGCAGTGGGCAATGTCCGTCAGCGGAATCGTCTCGATTGGTGTGTATTCTATTAACCATTCACCGAACAACCACCAACCATGACGCCCCTTGATGCTCCGTTTGCTTTGGGGCTAGGAGCGTTTCCGTGAATGCTCGATTTTCGCTCAATTGCACTGGGTTCAAGGTGTGCAGCCCCATTTGGGAGGCTTCAACCAGCCTCCCGATCGAAGTCGGGGCATCCGCTGTCATTGAAGTCATGGCGCACCGCTTCGCGGCGCTCGGATTGTTTGGAGCATGGGCCAGAGAGGTCTACACGGACAATCCCGTGTGCGTCCAGAACAACTGTGCCTCGATTCGATTGAGGCAATTCGGAGATGAACACCACAGATGGTGATGTGGCCCTTAGAATGCTTCGCATGTCTTCCGTGTGCTTATCTCGGTACTCTTTCAGGTGGGTTTGAAGGGAAACCAACAGGACACCCACCCATTTTTAGCCCTATTTTGACACACTCATACTTTCTGTGTCACATGTTTCTCAGTCAATTCGAGGCATCAACCCGATCTTCCCCGGGTTGGAGGACCTCCACAGGTTGAGCAACACCACCAAGTGGTACTGCACCTCCATGGAAGACACGGCCTTGTCCGTGAACTTCTGCAAAGGCGACCGGTACCCTTGGGGGGATGGGCTGTTGGGGTTTTGGGGCATGGCAATTGAACTTGGGACCCTTTTGGTGGGCATCGTTTACATTGGGATTTGTGTCAACCAATCGTTTTGAGAGAAGGAAATTGAGGATGAAATCCCCTGCAAGGGGAGTCAAATGGCTCCTCTACCACGGATGTGTTTGACCCCCCAAACGCTACAACCGCCTTTTGAGAATTGCATTTTATTCCTTTTCCCAGAGGGACAATGTCAAGGAAACCCTCGAAAGGGGATTGCAATCAAATTTCATGCCCAGTAATTTGACATTTCATCTAGGAGCTCTTTTGGGACAATTCTATCCTGGAAAGCCGCAGTTTTTCACGACTTCATCCATTTTTGGGAGTTCCTTGAGGTGCAGTGAATTACGACATCGCCGTCCCGGAGCCGCGGAGTGAGGAGGAGCGGTCTGTGCAAGCGCTGGTGCGGAAGCAGGACCGAGCGGCGAACACCGCCTTCTTCACGCACATGAGCGGCATGGGCAAGGATGGGGAACAGGGCGGGCTGAGTGCATGGCGTGCATGGCCCAAAAGCCGGTTTAGGCGCCAAGAAAGGGCCAAAGGAGGCAGGGGTAAGGATGGGTGCATGGGCGTGTGTGAAAGTAGGATTTGAACCCCCAAAATGGGTGATTTCCTTGACGATCCCAATTTGGCCAACTCCAAGAAGAGTACACTCCAAAACACAGACCCACATGGCAAAAGCCGGTTGGACATGTGTCAAACCAAGGATCTTGGTTAGCTGCAAAACTGGTTCAAACAAGCGGCTGGTCCGACTTACAGTGGGAAACCAAGGGTCCGGCTTTAAGCAAAATTGGTTCAAGCAACCAGTGGATCCGGATCCCCAAGCGAGGTTGGGCAAGGGGACTGTAAAATTGGACTTCAAACAACCAGACGCGACAGGTCCCCTTCAAAGGGCAACTACACGGAGGTTGTCCCAACCCTGGCAAGGACGCTTGGGAGTATGCGAATCCTGGGGAGACAGATGATGATTGCGTGAAGAGCATTTGGAGACATGGCCCGTCTTTGGTGTGACCTTAGCCCCTGATGCCTTTTGGAAACACATGTCAATGTCTTTTCCATTAAACCTAAGACGGCAACCCAGGAAAATGGTCTGCTATACTTATTTCCCCAGAGCGAAAGCTGGTTGCGCGCGGGGCGGCGAGACGGACTACATCCGACCTTGCAAAAGCTCGTGCCAGAACTACATCAAGGCGTGCTCAGTCGAATGCTGCGACGAGTCGGTGCAGTGTGTCTTTGACCAGAAGCCACCGTCCAAAACAACGGTGACGGCAACATCCGGATACGAGCCGCACGATGGCCCCTCCACTTTCTGCACCGGCGGTGCCTATCGGTCCAGCATCGGCCTCGCGGCCTTGCTGGCTATGCTTGGCATGGACTTCTCCGGACTCAGCTTGGGATCATCCAAGTGGCTGCTGCTCGCGGCAGCCGCCGCCACGTCCCTGCAAGGCTGCGACGGCGTAGTGGAGCACAGTGTGGGGAACTGGCGCCAGCAAGACGACTACCTGGTGAGGTTCCAGTTCGTGCCTCCGGGCGCGTCTGCCAAGGAGGCGGTGTTGAACTCCTGCTCCTTGCCTGGCCTGTCCCCCACCCTGCAGTGCAGTGGCCACGGGGGATGCCATGCCTGGGACAAGACCGCGGATTCCAACCCCACCCCTTTCTGCAAGTGCGACTCCGAGTGGGCGGATCCCGAGTGCCGCACCAAGCGCAAGTCCCAGGCGAGGGGGGTTGACTGAGGGCGACACGCTCGAAGACGATGATTAATTTGGTCAACTGGAAACCGCCAGAACATGCTTTTTGCTCACTTCTTTGCAAGGAACATGTCATCAGAACAAATCCGGTGTGGACACTTTGTGGGCTGAGTTGCCCTGGAATCTCCTGAAGGGGGTTCCTGGTTTGGACCATTCTCCTCCAAAACCTTTTGGTGGCTTTCATTCTGCAAACGTGGGTGGGAGGGAAGCCTATGGTTGTGGAAAGCAATGTGAAGGACATTTTCTGGGTATCAAAGACAGTGCCGACCTAAAACCCAATTTGCCACAACCTGCACCACAGGATCCTTTGGGTTCGCAAATCCAGGGAAGGGGTCCTTACCAAAAGAAAACCCTACAATCATAAAAAGAGTTCCCACATTTAGAGATAGTAAAGCCAATATCCTTCATAATCTTTCTAATTCCATCTTGGTAGAACCAAACGTCAATGTGACCGAGTCATGGTCCTTCTAAGTATTTTCGGAGCCATGAGTCATGATAGAACCACGGGAAGCGGGCGCCTTCCCGAGCGGAGCTTTAGGCTGCCGCCTACTTCCTGGCCATCTTCCTGGGCCTGGTGGGCGCGGACCGCTTCTACCTGGGCCTCACGCTGCTCAGATTCCCTCGTCCCCTCGGTGTCTGTTTCCACACCAAGAGGAGACCACATTGTATTCCATTTCGGGGCAATGATTCGAGCCGCAAGCAAAATCTGGGCAAGTGAAGGTCAGGGACAATGGCATGAATAGGTTTGGACAGCTGCGCGATCAAGTAATTTGGACCGTTCCTCAGATTCCTTTTTGTTCTTTTTGGGTTCAGACATGTTAGAAAGCCTTTACTTTTGGTTTGGTGGGTTCTCTCGAAACGATGAGCTCCAAGAAAGGAATGGTTCGCCCGAGAAAAGCATAGGTTCTTTGCCTACGATATCATTGTGGACCGTCCCGGACCCCATGCTTTTTACGTCGTTTTTTTTTGAACCGTATCCCTTGGGAAGAAATTGGCGCACAGCTGAGGCTGTCGGGCTGGCTGAAGCTGGCGACGCTGGGCTCCTTGAGCGTCTTCTGGGTCACCGAGGTGCTGATCACGGGCTCGGCGCCGGTGAGCCTGGGTCACACAATCGAAACCCCGGGAAAGCGAAGGTTACGGTCCCAACCAGAAACGCACTTCTTGGCCTCTTCATTCTTTGCATGGTTTGGCCATTCTTTTTAACGTAAGTACTGCTTTGGCCATTGTAGTAGAGTACTGATAGCTTTAAGCTGCTCGCAAAAACCAGGGGACTCTCGATTATCATGTCCTGTGGGCTGTGACTCAAATGGTAGTCGTCTCCGGATCGAGGTTTGTGTGTGTGTGTGTGTGTTTCAAAAAGCCGCAGACTCCCTAAATGGACCTCGTCAACTAAACCAGGGGCTAATCCTGGGTTCCCCTGGGGTCATTTATTTTAACTGTTTCGGGGGGTGACAGTCCCAAACAGATGGTCATGTATCATGTACGCACTGGTATGGTTTGGTTTGTTCGATTGTACTTCCCGGATTTTGGTGAACAACCATTGCCATTTGAGCTTCGGTCTTGTGAATCCACACAAAGATAGACATCCAGGGGCTGAAGCAAGGCATTTCCCTCCTGTTTGGCCCTCCGCAAAGATTACAGTAACGTAGCTTAAGGGTTTCCTACAGGAACTGCGAAAGACCTAGCAAAAAGAGTTTCCCCGGGATATTTCCTGGCTTGCTGGCATCTTTAGAACAAAGGCCATTTGTCAGAACCCGACCAAGGGTGGGACATCAGCGTGGAACCGAGGAATCTGGGGAAGGACCTCCGGAGCTGGTCGGGCCTGCTGAAGGTGCTGATCTTCGCGGCCCTCGGGAGCTGCTCGGCGGTTTTGTTCTTGCTGGTCTTGCGTGCCATCTCCACGAAGGCAGCCCCTTCTCTTCTTTCCCTGTGGTTTCCCTGTAAGGCAGCCCCAAAAGGGTAGCCTCCAAAAAAGTCAGACCCAACAGATGAGGTCTGTGCGTTTTGGCGGTTCCATTCCATACCCTGAGACGTATCTCACTAAAAGCGTTCAGCAAGCAACTTAGATTTTCCCATTTAGGGAGGTCAGAGGGATCTTTTTTTGACATATCCCACCAAATACCTTCAAGGGATCAACAAGAAAGTTGTGGAATGTGGAACTGCAGTGCTGATGTCAGAGATGCGCGGGCTTGCTGAGTTTTGGTCTGCAGACGTTGCAGGGATGCGAGCTCCGCTGGCTCAGGCTGGTACTTTGTCGACATCATCCGCACTGGTTCAGCGCCAGTTGAGACTTCAGGATTCAAGACGTCTCCAGACTTGCCCAGGGAGGCGGGGCTGTTGGGCTTTCCGTGCGGTGCAGAGTCTACTCC